GTACATATCTAGCTATAGGCTAAAATGGTCATAATTTCAGATGAAAGGCCCAAGGAAACGTATTCTTTTGGGGTTTTTATACTTCACTGGAACCTACTTAATGCATAGAGTTCGAAAATGATTTATCACTTGAGGAGCTTCCCTCATTAGCAAAGCTTATATACAAACATATTGACTTTAACTTAAAGAAAAGTTTGTTGAATGAAGAGTTATTTTCAAATTCTAGTTTGTAAAATAGCCGCATAGAATTTCTATGTTTGATTCTAATGATCACTAAAAAGTTATCTCACCTATTCAGTGTGAGTAAAGGTTTTACTACAGGAAAAGTTGAATGTCATCACTCAATAAAGCGCTAAGAAAATTACAAAATTGCATTAGATCATTCGCAATTGATTCATTAAAATCACAGTTTCATCCATGTCTATAGTCCAAAAAAAGAATCAAACTTTTGATTTCATGCCCATAATTTTGTGTTTCTATCTAGTCGTAAACAACTGTACGTTATAAAAACAAAAAAAAAACGTTCGATTACTGTCTGCATATACGAATGTCGTAGAAAGTTTTACATAATATTATACCATATATGACCATGAAGATATACGATCAAATATAAGATAAATAGAATATATATAGACTATTCCAAATTAAAGAGAAATTAATTAAGTAGCCGCTCATTTTCATAGAATTATTCAAGTATTATTCTTCATCTTGATTTTCAGAGTGGATTAAAAAAAAGAATTATAGAACAAATTTCTTTTTAAATCGTTTTTTTTCAAAAATATGTAAAATTTAGTAATAATTTAATTATTAAAAGGGTATGGTTGATCCTGGTGAAGATGTAAGTCAAACAATAAAACGTGAATTTCAAGAAGAAGCATTGCAAGATAATACTGATGAACAGTATATAAATCAATTATTTTCTAATGGATATAAAATATATGAATCATATGTTGATGATCCAAGAAATACAGATAATTCTTGGATGGAAACAGTTGCTATGTAAATTTAATTGATAATATAATTACTTGGTTTATTTTTTTTTCTAAATTTCGTTTTAGACTTTATCACGATGAAACAGGTGAATTAACTAAACACATTCATTTGAATGCAGGTAGAAATTTCTTTACAAACAAGAAAATTTTGTATTCATCTTAGTTGTTTTATTTTAATAAGGTGATGATGCTGGACAAGTTGCGTGGTGTCCAATTGATCGAAAACTTAAATTATATGCCAATCATAAAGAAATTGTTAAAGCAGCTGTCGATCGACTTGGCGCATATTGGTAATATGGAATTATATATAATTGATTTTTAAACAAGAAAACAATAATATTCAATAATTGGATATTTTTGACAATGCCGGACAATATCTAAACTATTTTTTTTTTCGATATTTATATCAAACGTGATTGCTATCGATAGAATTTAATTTGTGTTTCAAAATAAAAGATACAGGCTGTCATTTTTCGAATAAATTTTGATAGGAAAAATATTGGTATCATATAAAGGTACAGTTAATTAGTTTGGATTTTTCTCAAAGTTTGTCATTGTTGTATAATTTTTATTACTTATCTTTTGCTTAATGAGTGTAAGTTTTACTGGGAGCAACAGTATCATACTTTAAAATGTTCTCATTTCTTATTGAAACGTTGAATATATAAATAAAAAAAAAAAGGTAATTGATTATGTTGAACATCACAAAGCAGTTGATTTTAGCTTAAAAAACAGTGTTTCTAGTTCAGTAATCAATCAAAGGCGTCTTCAACTGCAGATAATAAATCGTATCGAAGCTGAAAATTCTATGAAAAAAATGGCTTTTTTTGCTGCTGATCATTTTATTGTAAAAATGGAAATAAACCATAATTCTCTTCATCAATCATGTCTGTCAAGAATAGGTTATGTGTACGATCGTTGCATATGTGCTTCAATATGCTTTTATTTCGAATTATTTTCCATTAGTTTTAATAATTCAACATTTATCCAAAGATATGCGATAGCTGCTCTTCTTTCTATCATTCTCTTACTGTCTTTATTGATTAGTACAATTCATCTTCACTTTAAATTTACAAGTTTAAATATAATAAAAATGCAAGAAAATGAGTTAAATAATTGAAGAACGATTATTTTTTTGTGTGTATATGTGATTATAAATAACAATAAGAAGCAAATAAGTGTTTAGATTTTGATATTTTAAGTTATGTATTTGATACTTTTATAGTGAAAATAGATAATAATCTAGGATATTAAATTAAAAAATTAATAAAACAAATTTTTTGATAATAAATGCTGCCGAAATATTACATTAATTTATTGAAATCTTATCTTTTATGTTTGGATGATATAATAATTAATTGAAATAAAGAAAAAAAGAGTCAACAAGTTATCAACTTACAACAGGTTTTTTAATTCAAAAATTATTAAATATATTTATTTTATTGACTAATAATTATATTAAAATAATTTTTTATCTCGAAGTTTGAAAAAATCGAACAATTAGATAGATGCACTGAGAGTCTTTTCTTCAATGAGATCTACATGCACATCCTCATTCTATTTTTTAAGCAATATGTTGTTTTCTTTAATAGACTGAAAACAATACATAATATAAGATAAAAGTCTCACGTAAAAATCAACTGTCGATTGAAGATTTATCATCGAATAGATAGACACTAACAAAAAGATCTTCGAAATTTTCTGAAAATTTCTATTGTTAATTCTTGTGTAATTTAGATGAATAATTATTCAATTCTTTTTTTTCTAAAGAGAATCTATATGAGTATGAAATGCAATATATTATCTTTATAGTAAGAAAAATCAACTCATCTTAATGGATATACGTGTTAATAGACAACTGTCTCCTTAAGATTAATAAGAATAGATGGTTACATATAGTTAATAAATAAATGGAAAGAATAGTAGTTGAGTTTGTTCATCGACGACTTAATACATAGTAGAATTAAATTAGATTACTAATTGAGTTCGTTGTTCTTTAATCAATCGAGCAACTTTGAATGCAAAGATAACCGTCAAAATCTACAACAAGAAATCGATCATCGAATTTAAGTAAGATGAAGTGATAGATGAGTACTTACACTTAAAATACTAGCAATACCAACTAAAATGATAATAATAATCGATGCAATCAGTCCTCCAGCAGCACTGTTTGCCATCGATGCACCTATAACAGTTGCAATGATGAGCATTATAACCAGACAGACAACACATAAAATATGAAGAATACCAATCCAAGCAAACTATCACGATGAAAATGAATGCTAGAAAAAGTGAACATAAAATCATACTCACAATGAGAATACCAATACGAACATATTTGATCACCATAAGAAGAAAAAGGAATTCATAGATAAACGCGACAGCACCTACAAAAAATAAAATCAAAGACGAATATTAGAATACAGTCGATGACTTACTTGCTACGACGGTGCCAGTGTAAGTACGAACATACGTATTATTACGATCATTTTCGTAATAACGAAGATAACTTATTAGTGCAATTAAATCTCGAATGAAATAGGTCAATATAAAAGCCTAGACGGAAATGTCAAAAGAAGATCAAAGTCGATTTCATCTCAATATGAATCTTTGTTTATATTTAATACGTACGATTTGGATCACAATGAGAATAATGAGGATTATTCGTGTTCGCCTCAATGCTTTGATTAGACTTGCATTACTTTGATTGAATGTTAATTGTTCAGTTGACTGTGGAATAGCATTATGCTCGGAGTTTGTAAATGATTCAACAGCATTCACATTGTTTCTAGCTGCTTCGTATTTCATTGTTGTGAAAAATAGCAGTTCAAATCCTTGACAATCAAATATAATAATTGACAAGGCCGAATAAACGAAATCAATGTTTAATAAGAAATACGAATCACTAGTCTATGTAAATCAGAAAGAAAAATGCGCATGTTTACCAATAGATAAGGTAAAAGATAGCAAAACGCACATTTCATAGTAGGGAGAATGTATAATTATTCTCTTCCCTTTTTTAAGTTAATTGGTCATATATAATATTTTTCTGTACAGGTAAAACAAATTTGTATGTGAATATATAAAGTCGAATCAATCACTTGTGTTTTTATTATCGAAATGATCAGTTGCTTTTTTCTTTCAGGCATCACTAAAGCATATTTTTTCATGGAGTATAGAAAAATATATTTAAAGATACATCAATAAGAAAGATTCTTGTCTATTGTTTTTATTATGAATATTTTAATAGATTTGAGTATTTGTTGAAATTTCAGAAGAAAGTTTATCAATGATTTGTTGTATTTCAGCTTTTGATCGTTTTCGAACAATCATTACGTATTGCTGCGTTTGAGAATATTAATTGAGTCAATACAAAGTGCATTTAATATGAAATCGTTTTGATTTATTTATATAGTATTTGATGAAGCATCCAAAGCTAGTTAAAAATATATGATTTTTAAATCGTTTCTATCACATTTTTTTTCAAAACAGAATCTAAAAAGCTTAAAGATTGTGAAAAATAATTCACCATGACTCAAAATGATTTTTCTTCTAAAAACTTTCATTTTTTTCTTTCTTGCACTTCAGTAGTTCTTTTTTTAAACGATCATATTTTAGTTCACAATTGAAAACTGACAGGGGAACATTTCCAGGTGTTCGGGCGCTTTCAAGTCAGGACTTAACGCATCTTCTAGACCTTAGTGTGCTGTGTCTATGTTAAAAATCAAGTTCGTGCTTATAGCTTGTTTTTGGAGGAGATCGACTACCCATGGGGTAAAATATTCAAGGAAACGGACTGCGTAACGCGTTTCTGAGATTGCAGCATGCGTTTCGCAGCGTTTTTTCAATATAGAACGCGTTTCACAGCATTCTTACTTCGATAGAATGCGTTTTGCTGCTGTCGTTTTTTGAAAGGATCTGAAACGCGTTTTTCCAAGATTGCGTTTCGAAGCGTTTCCGAAGTAAAATAATGTCGAACGCATTTCGGTCGATAGGTAACGCGTTCCAGAGACACAGATTCGGAGAAATGTGAAACGCGTTTCCTTTTCAAACGCATTTTGCATCGTTTTTGTTTGAAATGATGCAAAATATATCCGTTTTGCATACAGAATCTTGTAGGAATTTATCTGTACAAAACGTACGAGTTAAGCAACGTTAATTCTGGCACTATTTTAGAAATTATACTAAATGGGATTTGAATATTTTGTTCCTTGCACTGTTTCTCAACATGAAAATCATGACCCGAACTTTCCAAACGCAAAATTAAAATCGAATTCTTCTAAATGTTTAGGCTGCTAGACTGTTATATAAGTCTGATTGGTAGTTAGACTAATATTGAACATCAAAGTGTAAGAAAAATATTTTTTTCTTCCTTGAAAACTCATTTCACTAGGTTTTTATTGAAAGAAACGTGTTTCGTAACGTTCAACCAAGCATTGTTTTAAATATTGAACAATTCGAAAAGATTTAGTAAAGACTGATGTTAGTATAATGTGTACGACAACTTTGTTTGTTTATTTGTGAAGAAAAGAATCTCGGGCTGTTTATAATTTGAATAATTATTGGTATGAATTCATATATGGACTACTTGATAGTGACCGATGATACTGTACAATACTATTAAATATGAATTTAGTTCGTACTTTGTTAATGTAAGCGTGACTTATTAATAAAAAGAAGATTCGATTTAGAAAAGAAGATTCTTTGCATTTAGTGATACTTTTGGATAAAAGGATGACGAATTTACATATACAAAACTCTATCAAATAAAGAAAACAATTCAAAAAATTTATTTTTAAATTTCTTAAAATTTATATCTAAGAGATTCAACTTGTTTAAATATTAAATACAATTTAAATTAATTAAAATCGTTTCAATTGGGTATTTAAATTTAAATTTAAACAAGTTCAAATAAAAAATATACCAAGTGGAGATCAAACTCGTTATTGAGTATAGGCACCAAGGAAATGATAATTTTTAATTTAATGGTTTGGGATACTGAAAATCTAATTTAGTAAGTTTACGAAAGACTCTGAAAGACTATAGAATAAGCACTCATATCATTAGATTATTTTAGCTGAACGGTTTGTACACATGTTTTCTACTCTTATGTTCTCGTGTTCCAATCTATGTGTTGGCTTTATCAAAATTGATCTAAGTTATAGCTCTAAAGGTGTATGAAAAATGTAAGCGAGTAAATTAATTGTATCTGCAACTCAAAGTGCATGAAGTACTTGACGGTTTTCATTTTTTTCCATCTAGAATATACGACACCACAGTTAGAGAAACGCTAC